CCCGCATCTTCGGACGGTCGCGGAATTATCAACCGTGCTGCAAGCCGGACAAACATACAGATCGATCGGTCTACCGACGAGATCGAGCCATAATTAGGACAACCATAAGGCCGAGGCCTTTACATTCTGGAAGATTGGATTGGATTCATTTCTTCACATGTAGGTACAACACCAATCACAACTGTGGAACTACCTGGCAGTCGCAGCACAGTGGGAATCACCAGCTCACAAGTGCAAGAACCTGGACGTTTACTGGCCGAAGCCTTAAGTTCTGTGACCGGACTTGACATAACTGACTTTGTTTGTCTACATCAATTTGAGGTCGTTATTGAATAATGAAGCCAGCACATTTTTGATTTCTTGAAATGAGATCACTTATTTTTTTGATATGTTTAGAATGTTTTGTGTTAGGTGAATGGGAAAAGTACCACACAAATGGTGACATTAGTCTTTTCCTTGAAAATGTAAATCGGAAATGTCCTGACATTTCTCATGTGTACTTGCTCGACGATAACGGCGATAAATACACAGTTGGTGGGAATAACCTGACTGCTATTGTTTTCGGTATCAACCTTCTAAATGAAGAACCAGGTTTGTTTTTCTCACTTCAGTTCATTGCGTCATAAAGGCAGACCGCATTTTAAGTATATCGCCAATATGCACGGCAATGAAATATTGGGAAGAGAATTATTGCTGATGCTTGCTCATGATTTGTGTACCGGTTGGAGAAAAAACGACCAAAAAATAACTAATTTGATCAAGTTGACTCGAATCCATTTACTACCCACAATGAATCCAGATGGATGGTCCAAAGCTTTTCATACATCCAAAGTGAGTTCACGAGAATGAAAAGTCTAATTTATCTGGAAGGATCGAGAAACCGTTGGTAGAGAGAACGCCAATAAAGTTGACCTGAACCGAAACTTTCCTAATCTGGACGCAGTTGTATTCAAAAATGTTGAAAAGAATGGCCCGTTCGATCATCTGTACAACTATAGTCAAGAGAAAAACAAAGTGAGTTATTTCGTTTATTCTCTATTGTCACAAGATTTATAAAGATTTCATTAGTTCATTCAAAGACATCTCTTTTTATACGATGAAAATGATCATCCTGTCTTCAGTCTTCAGTATTAAAGGAGAGGGCAGGGTGCAAGTGTAAGCCCCATCACCACTGGGTCGAAGGTCCGATCACAATTGTCCGTTCCTACATAGCCCCTTCAGGTGCTCATCCAGATGCCGTTTGAAAGCAGCGTCTGTCTCCTCTTCCATCACAATCGCTGGAAGGGAATTCCAAAGTGTTGTTGACCTACGTGAGTGTCGGCAGACTAACGGCAGACTAACTGACTGAGGTTTCCGCAACCTGAGAGAGAGCCTCCGCGTGCGGTCCTCTGTCCGTAAAGGGAAGTACCGTTGCAGCTTCAGGCCCATATCATCAGTAATCAAAAATATATGAATTGAGCTCAATTTAAATATCATTAGGATTAACTGTTTCTCGTTAATAATCCTAAAAATAATTTAACTTATCAAAATAAGCATTCTTTGATTCAATGATATCACCACTTCTAATCAAATTTATTGATTAATTCACCTTCATGTAAACCAATTCCAGTGTAATCGGTTCAAATTTAACGTGATAACTCATCGAAATCAAAAAGTTTAACTACTTTAGACAGATATTTTTTATTTTTTATTGCATTTAGTTTACATATGATGGAATCCTGCCTGGGTGTTTTTTCGTTCAGTGGTCCACGAAAGCTGAAGATCAACCGAAACAAAATTTTAAATATTTTTGCTGAAATTTAATTATGTTGAAGGTTACTGAATCCGATCTCAATAACAATTTATGCGCAAATTTCGATACTTGTCGAAAAAATTGAATGGTATGAAAGATACGTTACATAACATTGAGAAAATCTTCTCGATAGTTTCCTGATAACCAGTCAAATCAGTTCGAGTCAGGTTTCTAGGACGAAAACAGGTGTTCGCCCATCGTGCGTCCAGATTTATGCATCAGTAGGATTTTGGATCTCCTCTGGTTCTACGGCGTCAAAATTCTTTCTGTGGATTGTGATGGATAGCTTGCGTTCTGTAACTTTGGACAGCTTCCCAAGCGAGTAACAGTACCAGGGGTTCACATCAGGTTGTACTATTAAGTTTTATTTAAAAATGTTTACAAATGGAGGGATGGTAGGGATGAAAAACTAGTACCATTGTGAAGTCTCAATTTCGCGCTCAAATTATGGATTTGCAGCAGTGACGCAGTCAGTACTTGCCAGCAAAGAGAGCATCTTGTCACATTTTGTGCCTCTCTGAGCTGCAATAATGAGTGATTTACTGAGATGCATTTGGGTGCGTGCTGTATGGTGTACAATGTACGACAGGATGGTGGACTTATTTTGCCCAATTTGTAGTAGAACGTTTTTCTTTTTATTCTCTCTTCTAATGATTAATACCATTAGCACATGGCCAATTCATGCAAACATTATGCTTACTTAGCGGGTATATCGATTGAAAGGATCAAATTTGTTATAAATAAAGTGTAATATGAAATTAAGGGAAACAATTTGAGACCTTTTGGGTCCATTTTTTATCAACCTTGGAAAATTTTGATACTTCAGTCCTTATTTGAAATTATCATTCGATTCACATAAAGCTTTTGCTCTACTGAAAGTTTGCATTTAACTTCCTAAGGCTTAAATGCAATTCTAATAAAGGCAGCTTATTGCCCTTTACATGCAACCACTAAGCATACAGTTTCAATCCCATTCTTTTGCAAGTTCATGTGTGGTTAATTTATGTTTTTGTTTCAATGTGCCAAGTAAGCAATGGTTCAGCTAGAAAGTTGAAAAAGTTATTCTGGTTATTCTGAGTAAACAATGAATTATGAATCTGAATGAAATGACTGTAATGGTATTAATATATTATTTTTCAATAATTTCAACCACTGTTGAACAAGGATCATCTGTGAATCGTTACCAAACTTTAACCGTAAGAACATACAAAATACATTTCGAAGCAACATCAAAATTCTCTTTTATTTATTTTCTTTGCCACAGTAAATTAATTTCCTAGTGCCTGAAGCACTGACTCCTGCACTTGTAAAACCACTTTGTTATATATTATTCATTATTCTAAAAACTTGATAAAAATAAGGTAGCGTTTAAGATACCTGAGATAGTTCCACCACTCTACTCCATTATGTTGAATTTTGAGTTTCTAATGTAGTGATGGTTGTTTTGTTCGATTACCTGCTTAATTCTCGTTCGCCAGCCAATTGCTCCAGCGCAACAGGTTAATTGATCTAATGCTTTTTTCAATCTCCTTTTGGAAAGTGAAATGCCGATTCGGTCACTTCAGAGAATTTTTTGAGAAAATGTTACAGTCTTGTTTGAGACACCCACAAACTTGACCGGCGTAAGTGCAAATAATGAGGATATGATTCAATCAAATAAAGTTATGAATACAAAGGCAACTGTACATTTACCCAAAACTATAAACTAATTAATTTTCCTGATGACAGTCTAGCAACCATTCCCCGTTCATTGTTTTGAGCAAAACGCAAAAGGCTGCTCTCGAAACCGGAGCACAAATCTGAAGCGTTTGGGGTTGTTCAAATGATTATCCTCTACTTTTTGATAATTTAATATGTTAAAGTGTATAAGTGCATCAAATGTGGTTCATCTCTCATCCTACTGTTTTCTTAAGACTGACTTTTCTCTTCAAGTGAAGTAGGAATGTATAAAATGTTTGAGATAGAAGAAGAAAGGTAGTAAAAAGTGTGCTTACCGCGAATGGTGCATATCGCTACTGGAAAATTTTTCGGGTATTTTGAATTGATAAGAAAAGAAAACATTGCAGCCATTTTCTATCATGAAGTTTGAATTTGTGATCAGACTTTCACGCAGCCCTTTCATCCTTGCTTTCAAGTAATGACACGATTGCGCTTTTATTCATTGGAGAACACCAATCGCAAACAGAGCAGTGTGTAAGCGGTGGAAATAATCGCGTGGTATTGTTAAGTTTTTTTAAATGGGCTCGTGAGTCAAAGGTTTACAAAAGCAGCTGTTTAAAAGTTTGTATTTCGGCTACCATTGGCGTTCCATTAGGATTACATTTATCGCTATATGTTTAATATTTGACTTATGGAGTTTTGTATTAAAACACCATAAAGTTTCATTACCATACCCGAAGTGGAACAAAAGGAATTATGCGTCAGTTTAGCTTGATAAATTATTCATTATGGTTCATCAAGAGTACTGCTTGTAAAACAACAATTGTTAGCACTACTTAGGAGTGGTTCGACCGCGCACTTCAGTGTATCTAAGATATTACAGACTGTGAATAGTTTGTTTTGCTTACGGCTTTTAAACAAGCATTTTGTGAATACAGCATACATGTTAAACTTCAGAACATTTTGTATGCCATTAAATAGTACATTCGTTAGATTATGTTATCAGTCTATTAGATTACGGAAAGGTAGACATCTTTGGATATTGTTTTCGTTCTGTGCTAAGCAACAAATTGGAACGTCATCCCAGTGTCTTAATTGCCCTTATCCAGACTCCATGAGTATGACGGGAATTCTTTAGGCTCAAAATGATTTCACCGTGATTATTAACATGTAGCACATAACTAATAAGGACGGAGAGAGATGAAACCAGTTTTATCCTAATAAATTACGGAGGTGAATTTAATTGATAAACTGACCTGGGAGACCAAATAACTACTTTGTTTGTCTAATCGGCATAAGTCCCGTAAGGCTTGAGTTCGTTTGCATGAATCAGACGATAAAATCCAACAGAAAACCGATATTTTTTGGATTTCATGAAAATAATTCATCGGTTGTAAGACACGCCAAATGGTGCCTGAAACGAATGGAATTATTTCTTGAAATTCACAATCAATTATGTTTCAAATGGGAATTCGTCGTGTATATAGCAAATGAAGCGTGAACTAAAAAACTCGGAAGCATTGGACAGGTGTTTCGACCTGGTTGGGTCTCATCAGCAGTGCGAATCCATCGACCCGACTGGGTATCAAACCCGGTACTTCATGGGCAGAACGCAAGCGTGCCCGGTGGCGTAGTGGGTAGCACATACATACATGTATACATACATACATACATACATACATAAATACATACATACATACATACATGCATACATACATACATACATACATACATACATACATACATACATACATACATACATACATGCAAATAGATGTGCTTTCAGTGAATAAAACCCCCTTTGGCGGAATCCATTGTACACCCGTACTCAGAAACAGAGGGGTGGGCATAATTCACTTTGAATGTGACAGATAATAAGGTTAGCATAGCACTGTTTCAGTCAGATACGTCTCACTTGTGGATCGCTTTTCTTTTCTATCCTTTCTAATCTTCCCATTGAAGGGCATCTTTATTCATCCCGAGGAACACGGATACGAATGTAGACTCACTGATCGTGTTTTTCACGGAATTCAATGTTTTCCCTGATGTCTAATTTTTGCTCAATGGTAGATGGAAACCTTTTTGCGCGCATCAACTAGTTACATCGAGATGCTGAAGTTGCTGTTAATCAAAAACCTTTCAATTTACGCTTCGATTATATGTGACGGGAAGATGATTTTTTGTTTCACATGAAAGTAGTAAGGGATGCTTATCGGTCCCTTCGAGTGGTATGGAACGATATCCGTTCGTGTAGCGCACCGTGTTGCTTAGGATATAATAAACCACCGGTGATGGGCAGATGAAGAGAGATCAAAGCTATCTTGATTCCGTTGTGTGTGTGTATGTGTGTGTGTGCGCGGGCGTGTGCGTGTTGTCGGTTAAACTCACTGCGCACTGTTTTCACCAGTCAGGTTGAGGGATGTTTTCAAAAGAACAATTTATATCACTGTAGCAAGACTGGAAACAAAAGATGAATTGGGATCTGTTCCTTTAACACTTGAGTTATCATGCGAGAAAAATGGAATGAATCTATGTTGGCGCACAGTACATTAAATTGNGTGCAATAGGTTTCATGATGAAGAAGCAAATCAAACTAATTTAAGCTTGGTTGAATCTTTCAACTAAAATAACGTACATCCTAGCCAGTAGAGTGAAAGATCAATGGTGGTCGGGACATCGGTCAGCTAAGTAGAAATGCTCCTTAAAGAGAAGCTCACAGGCATCATGAGTTCAAACACATTTGCTTGTGGTGCTTCAATCATTTGCCCAATCAGTTTCTCGTATTGGGACATAATACAAATCCAGACAACTGGCAAACTTTTAACCTCTGAACCTTCCTCCGGGTCAAAAAAATCGTGAATCCATATTTTCCCAGATGATAACCCCAGAATGTGAAAACGCTTTAGTCAAACCTTCGAGTGAAAGAATTCCAACCTTGTGGACCGTCAACCCACTGTCTTTGATGATCAAACCCGGACCAACGTCTAGGTAAACTCCGATAGTCTTCAAAATAACACTACTCGATCCTAAGTGTTGGCCGTGTATTGATCACGTAACAAATAAAAGAAAGTGAACACGGACATTGTTGTTTGTGTTGCAAATGGTTTTTCTTTTTATCGATATCGGCTTAGTGCGGTTGGAATGTGTGTGTATCCACTTGTCGCAACCACCACATGGAAGTTCACAGAGAATGAAAATCATCAAGGTATACTGGGTGCAGGAGAAAAATTCCTTTACTCAGCACGCACACATTTAACACTTATTGGTATTGTCAAGCTAGAACTTACTTTACTTATTTTTGATCGAATAACTCCTGCGGAAGGATAATTCGGCTCTTGGATTTAACTAATCACGACGGCACATGCATGACGATCAGTAGCAAGGTTGACGCAGTGCGAAACCTAGTTCTGGTTTCAGTTACGGTTTCCATGCGCGGTTTGGAGGCCCAGTAATTCCAAATTCGCCTTGATCGTACTGCTCCAGGTCGTCAGTTGACCACCGAGTCAACACCGCCATCCATGGCACGGTGCGGGGGCTANGCAAATGGCCAAACCACTGAAGGCGCCGGCGTTGTAACATTTTCGAAAGCTACCATTGTATGACAATCCATGAAGAAACCTGGGAATGAGATGTCACTAAGCTGTGCTATCCGTAGACAGTCCATTGAGTATGGGCGAGATCAAGCTAGAAGGCTCCCTATTGAGAAGAGAAACTGCTGTGTTACATGATATGACTGAGAAAACAGATAGAACCACTGGGAGTAAAATATTATTATTGTTATTATTATTATGTATTGCTTAAAGTGGATTGTCGTTATAGTCTCATAATGTCTCCGATACATTTGGTTTGATATTGTCTTGTTTTACTCACACACTTAATGATACCCACACGCAAGAAGTAGTGCAGTGTAGATCTCAATTAATTTAACAGTATCTCCGCAGTATGTCAATGCATTTTACACAAACATTGCAGTGTTGTCTGTGATGTCGGACAGAGAGCACTGGACAGTTATCTTTTTGGTGTTGAAACTCGTCAGCAATACGTTTGTGTCACATTACGGGACAGTAAAACTTTTATTTGGGAGTTGGAACACACGTAGCTCTGAACTACGTGGTCAAAATCCAGCACATTAAGTATATGGCAACGTTAGCTGAAAACTATACGCGAATTGACCGATGCTAACTTGTTTCCTTGAGCATATGGAAGGCTACAGCAAACTTTCAAAAAACCGAATCCGCAAGGGGCAGATGGACCCTGGTGATGTGTTGACGGTACAGCTGAACCCTATTTGACTAGAGTGATCAGTTTGTCTTCTTACATCCAGACATAAGGTTACCATGTCAAATGCCATGGTTGATAGTAGTAGTAGTACTATAGTAGTAGTAGTAGTAGTAGTAGTAGTAGTAGTAGTAGTAGTAGTAGTAGTAGTAGTAGTATTAGTAGTGGTAGTTATTAGAATCACACAACGGCTATTGACTGTTATTCATGCCCCTTTTCTTCCCAATATGATCTAATCCCTCGGGGGTACAGACTGCCTTCGAGAAAGAAACACGGATGATTATGCAATGGCTCGATCGATACAATTTCGTGTTGTCCGCCAACATGCACGGAGGTGATCTGGTGGCCAATTATCCATACGACAGCTCACCCAGTGGTCGAGCCGTTCCGTGTCTGACACCGGATCATCAAATATTTGTGTGAGTTTGTCAGTACATATGTGGATGAAATCAATTGATTGATGATTTAGAACTGGGTGGAGATTATATTGCTCATGAAAACCCCCTTGGGGATTATCCAACTTCAAATTTCACTCCTCATATTCCGAACTGCAGCAAGTCTTGAATTTCTCTCCCTATGACAAGCTGTGTTTGAATTCGAATTCGCTTTTGACTTTCTAAAACCAACGTTTTGAAAAGAAAACGTTGTTTGCGATGAGCAGATCTCCAAGTGCCTTACCAAACCTTTGTGTGTGTGTCTCGTTAGTAGGTCAGGCATCGTTATCAGCAAGACAGCTATTGAAATCCTCCCCCCCGCCCCGTGTCGCGTAAATTCACTCATTGACTAACTTGATGCTGACTATGATGATAGAGTTCACGAGGTGAGAGTCATCTGACGCTGTAGCTTAACCTGGTAGCGAAATGGTTACAACAGGAACAATAAGCTGGAAGCTCACATCACTAGTGTAGCTGCAGTTGCAAGAATTTACTACTAAAATTTCACCCATGTTGGTGTAGCAAGCACATTCCGACCAAAGTTCATTTACAGCTTATATCTTCTTACCCATAGATGGTTGAAAACTAGTCTGTGAAATATGAGTTTGGGCGTAAACTGAATGATTCACTTTGTTTTGTTGCGTAAATTTCGAAGTCAAAGTCAAGTTGTATTATGGGAATAACTTACAAACTCGTGTTTCTATTGTCCCCATAGGATATTTACACAGATGAATCGTTACACGCCGAAAAAAGAAGTCACATGGAGTTCCGGGTAGGAGATAATAGAGAATGTAAGCTGCAGTGAATTTCCGTTTGCTTTTGGTGGTGTACTAATGTGAGGAGTGCCAAGGTTTCGTCGAGTTTCTGCTTGAAAGATTCAATAATGGGTGCACAAACGACATGAGATGGAAGGGCGTTCCAAGATAGCATACTCTGACAGCAAAAGACTGGCGCCGGTAATCCAGTTGACACTTGGGAATCAGTAGGTTTAAACGGTGTCCCCTTAGGTGTACATTGTTCGATAACATGAGCAGCGATCGACACGGATGGTTTGGGTTATGCAGTATTTGATATGTCAAAATCAAGTCTCCCCGAGTTCGGTGATACTGAGCAGAATATAGTTCCAATAATCGTAATCTCTCCTCATATGTCAGGTAATGAAATTCCTTGACCATCCTTGGCCATCCTTTGTGGACGCTCAAGCATCTTGCGATCACGTTGAAGCCATGACTCCACGTTTGGGTGGTGAACTCTGTGTAGGGTGTACGCTGATAGCAAACGTGGGAATAGTGATGATTCAAACTGGCCAAAGACTCGCCGAAGTAAGCCGACATTCTTAACAGCAGCGGACAAAGCCTTAGCACAATTAACGGAGCAGCTGAAATCCTCTTGAGCAACAATACCCAAATCCTTTTTTCTAAAAGTGTGTGGTAGCTGCTGATCCTCGAGGAAATACAATAATTTTCTCTAGTGGTGTAGGGATAAGACTTTGCATTTAGAAACATTAAATTCAATGTCGTTCTCCTTAGACCATTGATAACCTGTGTTGAGTGATTCCTGAAGTGTTAGAGAGCCCTCGTGTTCTGTTACTGTGTTCCAGATTTTGGCTTCGTCTGCAAACAATATTGTTTTTGGGCCTAACACTTTCGGTGGATCATTTATGAGTGCAAGGAACAGACGGGGACCGAGTACGGACCCTTGTGGGACAACGCGGGTGGCTTTGGTTGACCTGGATGTGGAATCAGAAACACGAACTGACATGGTCCGTTGTTCGAGGAATGCTTTAATCCACTGAAACGCGAAATCTCAAACGCCATAATTGTAGAGCTTCTGCGGCAAAATTTTGTGATTCACCCGATCAAATGCTTCCGAGAAGTCGTGATAAATCGCACCCACCGCATCCCCTTCGTTGACTGTTCTGGTCCATTCATCTCGAACAAGTAGCAGGTTGGTGGAGCAGGAACCCTTTTGCCTGAACCCGTGTTGAGCTATCGAAAAAATGTTGCATCTTTCGAGGTGTTCCATCAGAAAATCTGCCACAATTGACTCCATGATTTTCGATAACGCCGGAAGCAGGGTTACAGGTCGGTAGTTAGCGGAATCACTACGACAACCACTTTTGTGTATGGGCGAAATGACTCCTTGTTTCTACGATTCTGGGAGTATTGTTTGGTCGAACATTCGTTAAAACAGAATGGCTATCGGTTTGGATATGTGATTCGCCAAGAAGATCAGAGATTTCGGGTGCATGTTGTCCGCACCTGGGGTTGCGTCTTTTCGCAAAGGCATTATTTTCGCTTTAACATTTTCAGCAGTGAATGATACGTCGGTCAGTGAAGGATGTGTAAGATAATGCAACCGGGGAGGTAGTTGTAAACCTTCAACCTGCTGTGCTGCGAAAACATTGGAATAATGAGTTTTCAGCATTTCCGCTGCTTCCGTAGGAGTGGCTGCAACTCTTTCAGCGCTAAGAAGACGTGAGCTGTGAAAATCGCTTTGCAGAAATTTCATCGTGTTTTTATCCTCTCTATCCCGTATGAATTTGATGTGTGTGTGATTAGTCCACGTGATGACTCCACATGGGTCAGCAAAACCGGGGGGAGTATCTGGCTCATCGGACAGTGGCAAGTACGAGCATAACTTGTTTTTGTGATGATGGTTGCGTGGATAGATAGCAAGATACCTAAAGGGTAGCGTGTATTTCAATTGAGTGATTCGATGTGGATTAGATCAGTTTCTACTCTGTCTCTCTCTATCTCTTTATATATATTTATATGGCATAACTTGTGTTACCTGATCGATCAAAGTCAACAGAAGTTCGATTCCTTCGTCCCCGAGTATCCAATGGTTTTGCATGAGGATACCAAGAATAGGGGTTCAGAGCTTTCTTCTCCAATATTCATCGTAATGTCCCGTTTACGGTGCATATGTATTCTTGTTTACGAATCTCGCTTAATTTTTACGATCAGGAATTTCGAAAAGCTAATTAGTAGTGGGCAGATGGTTGACATATACGACGTTCAGGGTACCATCCAGATACAGGTTTATTCGTGCCACTGTTTTAAATTTATGGTATATTTGTTTGAATTTGAACAGTCTTATCTCACTTATTTTCCGCCATTTCTAAACGGCTGTGACAGCCAACTGTGCAGTCATTTTCTGTATTTCAGGGGGTTGACCGAAACATAGCTACACCAATCACGGAAGTTAACTTTTAAATTAAGTTATTTGTACTGTGGATGATGAAGAAGAAAGCAATATAATAACTGGTCGGTTGGACAGAACGGATAAGTTTATTTGATCGATGATGGTGATGAACATGATGATTTTACTTTGGGATTTACTTTCAAATTGGTTTGAGTGAGCTGTTTTGTTCAGCTACACAGAGGCAAACACTCGGCTCTCCTGGGTGTTGTAACGTTAGTATAGACGATGCGACCGGGCTGGCGTGAACCGTGATCCAAACGATACGTGCAATAGTACTGACCACGAACAGAAATCGTAGCAATCCAGTGACCGAGGGAACAGTACACGAATACGACCGACCGCGGTACCAGAGCGCAATTCCCAAGAGAACCGGAAGAACGCCCTGCGAGAGTAGTGCGATCCCTAAACCCCACCAGAAAGAACACCGAACACTGGCCTTCAGGCGAAGACTGTGGACAACTCATTTGTTTATGTACAGTTTTGGGACCAGCCAGCAATGACCTTGGAAATTAGCTTGAAAGTAGAGAGTCATGAAGAAATGGACCAATCAAGATCGTATGTAGATGGCGATGTGGTATGAGGCTTTTCGAGCACCAAAATCCGGAAATTCAAGTTTTATAAAATTACTTAGGAAAACAAGGGAAAATACGGGAAATAATCACTTTTATAGGGAAAATGGTCCTTTCCCTATCCCTGGGCACCCACCGAAACAGACTCCCCATCAGAGGTTCACGTGGATTGAACTTGATATAGAAAATGAATGTTGGGTCAAATGTTTTGCTGGTTCTAAACATGTGTAGCGATTTTCAGAAGTGCACACCACTGTGAATAGTGGTTGTTACCAATCTGATGGGCACGGTTTCTTTTGCACGATTGAAATTGTTCACCACCACAGATCTTCAGCACGTCGCCCCACAGTTTGTGTGCTCTAGTTCTGTAACAGTCATTCTACTTCATCTCTTGTTGATTAGCGCCAATCAGATTTTCGTGGTTTTACCTGTCGAGTATAAATTTCATAATTTTCTTGTGCATCCCAAAACGTAAACTAATTCGTTAACCACCAACTTTGCAGGATTCTCATAGTGGCTTAGTGGATTTGACATCTTATTCAGATTCGACAAGTGACTGTCAGACCGACTTATTCGTACGAGGTGCATGCTGACCGTAAACGAGAGACTGAAAATCGTTATACAGTTGCTTAAACAGAATCATCCTAAAGCTGACTGAGTTACACGCAAAGCATCGGTGAGAAAACTGCACGGACACACTGAAGCCGGTTAATACACCATCCGGAATGTGCGGTTAACTGAATAAATTGATGAGTATTCGTGAACATGCAGTCGGAGGAACTGTCGGTTCAAATCGGTAAAACAAATGGTTATTATCTGTGCACGATCCTGGTGATAAATTATCAAAATCCTAACAGAAAAACTTGGCACGCACTAAGAAATAGTTGGAAAACATTTTGGTGGTATAGATCTACTCCGGCCTCCGGTCTCTAACCCCAACCTGATCTTGAAAATTGGCAGTTGTAAGCGCAATATGCAAGAAAAAGGACAAAAGTGCTACCACCCCTTTTAGCATGCATGACAGGTGAATTAAAAGTTGCAGTATCATGATTTGTTCTCCGGAACCGGAAGATGCTAATAAATAATCAATCAGCCTTTTAACATCTTTGGACCTGGAGACAGTCTGTAACAATTCCACTGGTCGTTTCACCCTAATAGACATACACTTGCACGTATGTACAGACGAGCC